ACAGAACAGCAGGCCGACGGCAGTATCACAGTCAGGATGGTTACGCTGGATGTTAAGACGCTTACGGTACCTGTGGGTATTTTGAGGATACTGGCAGTCGTTTTCACGTGCGTCACTTTCAGCTTGGTTGCATCTGTGGGCCATATAGGCGGCTCATTTTGGTCATGGTGCATGTTCTCTTGGTGCTTCTGTTTCTCTGTCACCCTCATCATTCTGGTCCTGGAGTTCACCAGCCTCAGCTCGAAGCTGCCCATCTCCTGGGATGATTTTACCACCGCTTTTGCCATGTTGGCCACCCTAATGGTGAGTACCGATTATGACAATTTTCTTGAATTAATCAGAATTATGAGGGATATTAGAAGATTTTTTAAAATTGTGTCTGTGTGTTGTTGTTTTGTTTTTTTTTACTTTAATAAATGCTAATTAAACAAAAAAAAAATTAAATCCCCAAAAGGAAAGATCTAGTGTGCACTTTTCATGCAACAATTCACACAGAAACCTCAAAAGAACATAGAGAAAATAACAAGGACAATACTCAAGTAAATAAAGGTTTTAAAATAAATGTTGAAACTAATGTTGAAATTCATACAAAATCTATTTTTGCAGTATATTATTGTCCATTTCATTTATTTAACTCCTTCTCATTGAATGCTCTGGTATAAAATGTAGAATTTACAGAAATACTTCAAACTACTTACAGTATTATTTTAATAAAACATGCAAACTTTGATAAACATAAAGTTGAATATGATTCTTAATGTAGATAAATGTAGATTGTTTCAAGTTTAACAATCTAAGCAAGTTAATGTTGAAAATTATAAGGGATGTCAGATGTTTTGTATTTTGTTGTTGCTGTTTTTTTTTACTTTATTAAATGTTAAATTAAACAAAATTTAAACTCCCCTAAAGAAAGTTATAGTCTGTACTTCTACAACAATTCAGACAGGAAGGTCAACACAGCAAAGGGGAAATAATGAGGACAATAAACTTGCTTGAGTGAATAAAGGTTAACTAATGTTGAAAATACATTTCATGCAAAACATATTTCAGGAAAATAAAGGAAAATTAATAACTTTATGAAAATCTTAGGGGGATGGGAGACAGGAAAAGAAAAAAAATATACATTTTAATAGAAAATATCTGGATAGTTTATACTACATTTTTAAACAATTTCTGTTAGATTTAATGGTGTAATAATTAGTTTAATGTGTACCTCAAATGTTTTTTTTTTCTTGTCAGTCTATACCATATATTTTATCTATTAATAGCTCATCCAAAAATGTATTATACTTGTAAATACTGCTCAAGCTTAGCTCTGTGTCGATCCAAGCATTTAATATTTTATTTATCATCCATCCAGGTGCTCACAGCGTCCCTCCTCTACTCCATCATCTTCACTTGTAGAACATGTGGTGAACACACTTGTAGTACTTGTGGCAAAGATATTGCGGCCTGCGTTTTTTCCTTCCTGACCTTCATCCTCTACGCTGTCGAGGTTGGACTGACTCGGGCCAAGCCTGGTGAAATCAGTGGGTTTCTCTCCACTGTGCCGGGCCTGCTCAAAGTTCTGGAGGCCTTCGTGGCCTGCATCATCTTCATCTGTGTGGACCTTTTGCGGTACAACTTGCTTCCAGGTCTCCAGTGGTGTGTTGCTGTCTACTCCATTTGTTTCATTATTTCCCTCCTCATCATTATTTTAACTATCGGCCGCCTGCTGTCCCGCTTCCCTGCACCTTTTAACAAAGTTCTGATCGTCTGCAATGTGCTGGCCGTGCTAATGTACATCACAGTTGCCGTCATCTGGCCTTTCTACATCTTTAAGTTATATCCCAGACCAAACTCCTGCCCTGTGGACTGTGAGTGGAGTTTGGCTGTTGTTATCACTTTCATGACGTATTTCAACCTGATTGCTTATATCGTTGACACAGTATATTCTTTCAGGTTGGTTTTCTTCACCACTCCAGCATAAGCACATAGTTGCATTGATCTGAATAAGGAGATTTTGTTCCTGCTGAAACTTTGCTTTTGTCAAATTGTAACATGTATTCAATAGCATAATTACAGTGTGATGTCTTTGTATTTTACACGCCTACCTGCTGATTTCCATTGTATTTAAAAACATAGTTATATTATGAATTATGTGACTAGTTAATTACACTTTCGGATCTATTTGTAACATTCAGCTAAAATCATGTTGTGCAGGCTTTCTTCTAAAGGGCTGCAGCTGGTGCATGTTGGTTTAGACACATATTTCAATCCTGTGAGACTAAGTGAATCTCCATTCCCAGAGTTGGATCCCAGCCCATAATACATTATGTTTACAAAGGTGTGTCAAAGTGCAAACAAACCAAAACACATCGCAACTTTTGTTTTTGAATTTACTTGTCCAAAGTAACTTTTTCTGAGTGGTAAAATAAAGGACCGATAGAGGAAGCACTAAAAACACCGAGGAGACACTGATTATTGTTTTTAGATATATATATCTTCAAAGGACCTATTATGCAAAATTCACTTTTTGCACATTTTTGTACTTCCGTTTGGGTCTCTACTGCTTCTAGAAACATCCAGCTGACTTCTTTAAAACAGGTCTGAAAGCATATTTGTTTACTCCAGAATTCAATCAAAGAATCACGTGAACTGTCCGCTTGATCACAATCTAAGCATGCTTTGAAGCACTATTCTTCAATAGCATAATATTTTTTTTAATAGTTTTAAAAAATGTATTGTAAAATTTGCTTATTTGTATACAAGATTTTTAAGTGCATGATGTAATGATGTCTCTTTTTAAGTAAAGCTTAAATATTTTATTTCAAATTTGAATTCCTGTAAGCACTTTGAACTGCCCTGTGTGTTAATGGTGCTGTACAAATAAACTTGTCTTGCCTGTTAAAGTTAGATATAAAAGGTGCATCTTCTCTGTGTTTGTATCAACCTATAATATATAATACTACATTTTCTAGATAATGCGATACTGTTTTTGACCCAATAATACAGCCACTGATAATAATGTGA